ATTTCTTTTAAGATTTTTAGCAAGAGCGAAGGAGTTGAAGTGCTGGGAATTTTCAAGCAGTCCCCGCACCCTGTGCTCCTCCTGCTTGACAGATGCCCCCAGCTCCAGCCTGTCCTCTGACGTGACCTGCCTACAGAAGAAGAGTCTAAGCCTATATAACCAGTCCCAGTTGCAAGCTTGCCTTGCATGTTATATCATCTCTGCAGAATCCTCCCGTCATTAGTCACAGCCCAGTGATGGATGAGCTGTGGGCAGGGGCTGAGGCTCCGGGCTGGGCTTGGATTGCTCCTGTTTTCTCAGCAGATGCCTCTTGGGGGCCACCCCCTACGATGGGATATGTGCCACCTTCGCAGAGAGAGCTCTGCCCCACAAGACCCACTTTGGAGCTATGAAGACCCTGTGGAAAAGGGACTGTATGAAAGGCGACTACGGGGATGGGGAAGGTCACTTAGTGACCAACTGAAGCTGCTGCGGAGGCAGCTCCAACCTAAATCAAGAGATTTTTCCCTTCTATGCAAAAGAGACCAAAAGCAGCAGCCACAAACCAGCCTGCAGGGACACACAGCTGGTATTTCTGCTCAGCACTTACCTCCTTACCTGCAGACACAGCAAGTCGGAGTAAGCATTTCAGAATAAGCAGGTCTAGTCCTCGTGCAGGGAAGCAGAAGTCTCCAGTGTACGAGAGGTCATGGACACAGCAGCCAGGAAAAGCAACAGCCAACTGTCCTAAAGTCAGTCTTGCTTTAAAAAATAACAGCAATTAAAAATACCTGATGCACAAGGGCATTCATGTTGTCCCACTTAAGAGACTAAGGTATGCAGGAGCTCCTAAACTGAGGGCTCAAAATCAGCCTCTAGAGATGTCCTTACTGGCTGGGAAACAAAGGCTCCTCATTTCAGTGTAACAAGTGGGATGGTCCAAACGTCGCTTCAAGTTTTAGTTCTTTTTTTCAGCCTCATTGGGCCCTGCTGGCAAAAAAAGGTTGGAAACTGAATAGAAAATACGGGATTTCTACTGTTGGTGTACGAAGCAAATTTTTAGGAGAAAAGAAAAAAAAGATTAAGATCAAATCACAATTAGGTTCTTCATCTCAGTTTTTTTCCAGCAGAAAAAAACCCCAACAACTAAAACAGTAGCGTTTTGTTGACATTTTGGTCAACATTTATGTTTCTTTTAACACAAAATGAATAGTGTTTGTTTTATATCCACATTACTTTATGATTTTTTTAGTTCAGTATATTTAGATCAAAAAAAGTTTCAAAACAAGAATAACTAACCTAATAACTAAAATATTAAAACAAATGCTTCAGCTTAAGATCAGGAAGTTTATTTGCTTCCACCCTCCTTTCTATGCTACAATTTTATTTTTTTTCAGCTGAAAATACTCACTGAAGCTCAACCTGTATTTGTTAGAGACTCTCTCCCCTCAGACTCTGCTTTCTGTTCATTTAACCCAGAAAATATTTCCTCTTATGGAGCTGCTGCACCTCATTGATTTCACTGGGACATGAACACCACCATCAGGAATTGTACTTACCAAAAGGACAAGAAACTGGCATTTTCCTTAGACTTGGGACACTCTCATGGGAAGCTGTCTTTGGTAGATTATCTAAGTTTGGCTTTTTTTTTTTTTCCTCCCCTCTGGGAAGCTGTGACAGCATCCATAATACTTGCTTTTATAAGACCCTGAGTGGAAATCTGAACGACAGCAACAAAATTCTCAGGAACAACTCGTACATCCTAAGGCACATACGTGCAAGAGTGAGAATCGGCTTTTCATTAGCTCGGCAGAATATATCAGCTGATGGTGAGCTAAACGGGCTGTAGGCAATTCCCAGTAAGAACAACTGAAACTTCTTATAAACCATAATAAAATGAGGGGACTAGTATTTTTTTTAAAAATATCCACCAGTGCCTGGAAGTGGATGCTCGTAAGAGTTAACCCAAAACTTTGACTCACTGAGCACTGCCTGGCAAACCTCAACAAGAAGAACCAAATTGCAATATGCAAGTATTAAAAAGCAAATTACATTTGATGTAGCTGCTATCACAGTGCTCCACATCCCAGGGTATCAACTGCATCTCTGCCACGCTGTTCTCCTAAAGCAGGCTTTATCGCCAAGCTTTTATATGTGCCATTGTTCAAGAAAAAAGGACCAGCCTTCTACCAGAACATGAGCAAGATTAAGAAGTAGAACTGACTTACTTCAAGTCTCCCAAGAGCAAGGGGCAATGAACACAGCCTCGGGAAACGAAAAAAATGAGCCAAGAGCGAATGTTCAAAAGAAAAATGCTAGATTTCACAATGCAAGCTGGTTATTTTTTTGCACTGGACAAACCTCACGGTGACTTACTGGTAAGTAGATTTATTGAAATGCATCAGTGGTGCTGACAATGCAGAGGTCGCAGGTTCGATTCCCATTCGGTCCCCATGTATTGCCTGACCTAGTCGAGAGGTGGTGACCCTGGCGACAGGGAGGCTGGATTAAAATGATCTCTAAGGTCCCTTCCAGCCTAGGCCATTCTATGATTTATATCAGCACTGCAGTGTCTAGAAGGTGAACATCTCCAAGGGGTCAGGTTCCTCATGGGGTGATGCAGAGTTGCTTCATCAGCCCGGTGCCGTTGGCAGAAGACTGGCTGGGCCAGCCCAGGAGAAGAGGCTTTAGCAAACGTAATTACTGTACGATGCAGCTCTCTCCTGCAGAACCCCAATAATGGAAAAAAGCATGCAGATACCTCGAGGGTAAATGCAAAAATGCAACAAAAATAGCTCTAAGAAGCAAAACGTGAATTTCCTCATTAATTAACCAGAGACTAAGGGTGGAAAGAGGAACGGCCGAGTTCAGGATTACTGTCCTTGGGAGAGCACTAAGGGACCCAAACAGACAAACATGCACAAAAGTCAGGCTGCTGGAGAACCGAGGATGAGTGTGGAGATCAGATGACCACAGCCACCCAAGCAGCAGAGGGATCTTGCTGCTTCACAGACCTCGGTTTGGCAGCAGCTTCCTCACCGTGGGTTGGCCCTCGGGCCTCGCAGGGTAGCAGAGGGACAGAGGAAAAAGCCCTGCAGAGCCTGCAGGCACAGGCAGGTGTCAGAGCTGCCTTCCCATGGCCACGGGGAAGGGTCTCCACATAGCAGCATCCTCCCACTGCCCAGGTCTGAGCCGCCGCTGGGCTGACCCTTCCGAGGCAACCCGGCCACTACCTCCCACGAGCGACAGTTGGGCACACACTTTTCATTCCAAACAAGCACACGCTTTACATATCAGAGGTAAAAGATTTTATTATCCCATAGAGTTTTTCCTAGGAAGTAAAGGTCCCACCAGACAAAATATACACAGCATCTTATGTTTTCTTTCTAGACAATTGCATCCTCATCCTATGAAACAGCGACCACGTTAGTTCACCTTAAAGAACCAAGGTTTGTCCTTAGAGCTGCGAGATTGCACAGAGTTAGCATATTCAATGACCAGTTAATTCATGCAGAATCAGAAGGAAGGGGAAAAAGAGGTCTGTATGCTCACCTGAGTGCAGGCTTAGCTTCCTAGAAATGAAGAGCAACACAGGGCTTAAATTTACCAGTTTGCAGCACTTCCGCCAAGCAAGCGAGTTCTCTGACCCACTTCTTGTCATCCGCTCCGCAATGAAAGGTCAGGGCCAGCAGCAAGTTATTGCTGGAAAAACACAACACTAGAAAAGCAAATGTCCCTTTGGCAGTGGGAAACTTTCCTTACCAACCTGTGTGAAGTGCACGTAATTCTTCATTTTACATTAAGCTTAAAGCAGAATGAAGCCAAAGTGTCTTCCTCTACTTGTTAAAACTTAATATTTATAGTTGACTATGTTTACATAAAAAAAATAAATTCTCAGCCTCTAAGGACATACTAATTCCTGTTGCATTACATGACCATTTTGAGATCCTGGTTTGTTTTCACATAATTAACTCACAGTATTATTACTTCAAAGTTTTATTCTAAAATATATTCACTTCTTTTGGTTCTGCTGAGTTAATGATTGTACTTGCGCTTACTTTATCCTTCCTCTTCTAAAACAACAAGCTCATTTCAACAGATGGTGAGCAAGTCCAGATTTGCTGGAAACCAATTAACAAAAATGTGCCAAGTTGAAACTCACCCCGTTCTTTCAAGCCAAAAAACTGCCTGCATTTCAAGAACCTAATTAGTTTTAACTATATTTATGGAACAGAGGGGAGATTATTTAATTACTCTGCAATTCCTCTGTCTGATGATCAATAGAAATGCAGTTTTGTTCACACAATTTCTCTGCAGTATATTGATCAGCTGAGTCTTGCCCTGTATCAATATCTGTACTACCACGGTGCCTGGAGATAATGCGATACATGGCTGGACTACAGTAGCTGCTATCAAAACAGCTTTCATCAGAGGAGTTATATGAGAATACACACTCCGTTAAAAAAAAAATAAATCAAAATCTGCTTCTGTGCTTGCCAGTAACCACCAGTTCTGCTGCTGACACCACTTGGTACGTAGGCATGGCACCCCATCCACACACAGATGGGATCTCAACAACTCGGGAAGGCAGACCTGTGTGAACATAACTCATCTTCCCAAGCAAGCAGAGCTGGCCAGGACAGACACAGGGCAGGAGGAAAACACCTCACTCCACCCTGTCTGTAGCCCCACTACTACTCTTTTCTTAAGTGAATCCAGCTACGTATTTCTGGTCATCGCATCAGCACTAAACAGTAACTCTGCTCTTGCGCATACACAACACATAAGCTGGGAGTAGATGCACCTATTTCCAGCACTCCTCTCTCTCAGCCATCCCCTCTACCCCAAATCTGCTCCCAGAAGAGATTCCTGTCCTATAGCGTGGAATAAGCTGCACCTACTCCCAGGTTATCATTGATCACTGTGTAAATTTAAGCCCAGTAAACACCGCAGGTAGGCAGCAGGGAGAAAAGAGAATCCGCTGTGAGGCCACAACAGACCCAAGAGGTTCGTGTGGCACAAGCAGGGGAGGGAGTTAAAAAAGAAAGACAGATTGCCATGTCTAAAGAGAGGGCTGAGCGCGTGTATGTGCCTGTGTGTGCAAGCAAAGCCGAGGAAGGTTACATCTGGAGAGTGGCTTCACGACTTATTGCAGATAACAGTTTCGACCACAAAAGTGTTTTCAAAGTGACGAATACGGTGACAGTTTCCAGCCTCGCGTCGACTGATACCTAGAAGTGATCAAAAGAGAGAAGAGGGGAAGGAAAGCAGGTGAGATGCAAGCCCTGAACACCAATATGCAGGAACAACACAGCCCATTGAAAAGCAGCATAATCTGGTCTTTGGAAGAACAACCATATTCTCTAAGGCCACGGACCAGCAGTAAGAGCTGCCGTGAGCTGGGGGAGCTGCCTGGAAACAGCTGGTTTCAGCTGATGGCATCTCAGTGTTATCTCAGAGACCAGAAAGCCTCAGCAGCCAGCAGAAGTCACGGGCTGGCACAGAGCACAGCTCTGAAGGCAGCTGAGGAGGGCTGAAAATCACCCCCCCTCTGCCACTTTGTCCCCTCACGTGCCCTGATCCTGCTATGGCTGCAGCCTCTCTGGGAAACAAGTAAATGCTTCCTGTTGCCCTTAAATTGCACGACCTCGACTGTGGGCAGCTCTGCCTGGCAGCTACTCCTCTCCGCTGGCAAAGAGGATCCTGCCAGGGCTCAGCAAGAGCAGCAGCCAGTGTGCCAGCACCCCTTGGGAAAGAGCACCATGAACTGTACCCAAGAGCTCTCGGCTCCCTCCAATTTCCCCAGAGATCCAAACTCAAACTTCTTATGGACTCATATTTCAGGTGAGCCCTGAAGCACACTCCTACCTAAAACCAAATAAACACAAATACTGAAATAGAGGTGTGGGTTTTATGGGTTTTTTTGCAGCAATATTACTATTTGCATACAAGATACATATTGCTGCGTTTCATGAAATCATTTTAAGGCAGTCCAGTGTTCCCTCTTGACAACTTTTTCTGTATTATTAGGAACTTAACTACTTAAAGGCAATTTTGCAGACTTAATCTGCTCTGAATAGCTGCCACCGAAGCGAGTGTCTCCATTAGGGAAATCTTCCAAACAGTTCCCAACAGCACCGCTATTAGCTCAGCCCCAGGAGCCCACATGTAAATGAATTTCTGGCTCCTGCAACCATTTTCTCAATGTTTCTCTTCGGCTGACGGACAGCCAGCACCCATTTTTGCAGCAGCAGCATCCCAAGCTGGGGTTTAGATTAATTAAATGGAAAAACACCTCAAAAGATCTCCTGTGTGCTTACACCCACAGGGAAAGCTCCCCTCTCGCCATGAAGAGGCCAGCACGGCTGTGACAGCAGG